GCGCCCGAGTGGAGCAGAAGGCTTCGACCTGCGGAGGGCTTTGAAAGGTCTCCCCAAAAAAAAGTAAAACGCATCGGGTCGAAACGAGGACCCAGCCTTCTTTAACGGAAATAAACATTTAAACAAAAAACACATGACTTAAAAACACACACAAAAAACAAGTCAAACAAAAACATGTCCAACATCCCAAGTCTCCGATTCCCCAAGCAAGTTGACACCCAAGAATGCCCGGAAGAAACCCTTCCGTGCTCACCGACCCCTGGGCATAAATTAAACCCTTCTTGACGCACGGTTCAAAACCTTCAAGGATCTCATGCTTGGGGAACGGAGGCCAAACATTTGGGGCTCCACGTGCGCACTTCTCGTGTGAGATGGTGAGACCTTATCTCAGAAAACCAGCCACCCCTGAATGCACGAGGTAAGCAACATGGCTTGCTCACAACAAGAACAACTTCCAATGTATCCCACTGTTTGAAGGATTTCCTGGAAGATAGAATCAGCAGGATTGGAAGATTTGGTTGCCCCAAGCTGTTAGAGAGGAACCTTCCCTCTCAATTAGGGGCCAAAGGTGCAGAGCATTTTGGAATTGGAGCAAACACCATTCTATTTTAACTCTTGCTGAGTGCCAAGTAGCTCGGTGTTTGACTCCACTCAGCTGAAACCAAAGCTTTTAAGGAGATGGATAATGGTTGTTTACTTTCCAGACCCCTGTTTGGCTGCAATCTGGAGGTAAGTCGTCAAACTGGGAAGACGGCACGTCTGGCTTCGACCGAAGGCTAGCGGCTTAGGACTGTCCCTGACAAGCTGAAACTTCTCTCCCACATTACAGCTTCTCAGGAGCTTTACCATGGTACTTAGTGAGTGTTGTTGGGAAAAGCAGATTGAGCAAGTTGTGTTGGCCCAAGAGAAAATGGCGCCAAAACAAAGCCTGGACTGAACTAGTTGTGCTACCGACAAGGTACACCAGTTTCGCTTCAATTTGTCCTTTTGAACAAGTTGCTGACGCTGACGTTGACACTTGTGACTTGCGCGCAGCATCTCGAAGGTCGTCCGTAGTTTCCCCTTGGAGACCACATGTGGCATTTTGGGCACCAACTTTCATGTCAAAAGCGCTCGGAATAAGTCAAAGTCTGAAAACATATGGATCGTGACTCAGCTGTGTTCAGCATACTGCCAACCTCAAACCTCACACAAAACCAAACAAAATCGCCCCACAAAAGGCCTGACCTTCTTGAGTGGGCATCTGTTTGTTCTTTCTTTAAACAAATAAATAAAACAATGCCAAAGAGACTCTCCTCACAACATAGGGTATCACAGAATAACATAACCAATGAGACAAAACTAATACAAAACATATTCTATGCCAACACAGAACCAATACAAAGCCAATGCTAGCCCAATTCTAAGGGTACTTGCAAGCAATACTAAACTGATACTAAACCAATACGTATTAAACCAATCATAAACCAGGACAACAGGTACCAATAAATACCAAACCAATACTAAACAGAGAGGACCAAAAACAGACAAAAACGGAAGATTAGTGGTCCCTGTTCTGACTGTTTGAGCTAAGGGGCCCCATATTAAATTTGGCGCTTCGCCTCGCGTATCCAGCGGGAAGCGTTCAGACCAGTCGCAGTGCACCGCCAGCAAGTTGGGCGTATCCGGATCAAGCAGCTGCTCGAGCTCACGACTGATGGCGCCCTTGACGCCATTGCCCTCATGCGCTGCCGCGTGTTATATGCGCAGACACCGCCGTGCGCCGTGAACATGTCCTGTAGGCGTGCCATACGCCGGGCAGTCGGTTTCTGCGTCTATGGCTTCCCACCCTCCCTCGGAAGGTGACGTACCCAGACCGCCAGTGACAATAGAGGGCAGGTTTATGGGTTGCTTTCTTGAGGGCTTCCCCTCTACGGGAAACACGACCACCGGGTGTGGCATAACTTGCGCAGCTTGGCGCCTTCTATCATCGATGGAGATCGCGGCGGCAAGGCACCAACCTGAAACGAAACGATTCCATGCGAAACCTACAGCCAGACCATGTTTGTTCGATCGTGGTGCTACCCTAAACTACTCAAACATATTCAACCATTTATGAAAGAACAGCAAACGGATTTCCTGGGGTACTTCTTGACCTCAAGGGCAAACACGCCAAAAGGAGAACCTTGTCGTGTAAGGTCGCATCACTTTTTGCGAGGCTTTGATTTGGGGTATGGTTTTAAGCGCGTGATGAAACAAATATTATACTTCTCGGGGTAAGCCACAACAGTTCACCAGCCTAAAGATAAGCGCCAGCCAAGGGCACATGGAGGTCGCAAACAGCAATGGTGAGGTTGCTGCTTGCCAAAACGTAGAACATGGTGGCTCGCACTCTGTCATTGCGCTCAATCAGTGCGCAAGTCTACATGCCCATGGCTCAAAGCGCATCCGTCGCCTGACATGTAAGTCAGACATGGCCGACATAGCCTTCTCTACCTGGGTAAACTACTACTGCTCACTCGTTATAACCAAATGTCCAAGGGCGAAAGCTGGGGGTGACGGTGATTCTTTCAGAGCGACCAAGCCAGCAGCGGATCATTGCGGCTGGGGCAAAACACAAGGTTGCTCTCCAAACAGAGGGGGTGGGGGGAATGCTTGCAACGCTCCAGGCCCCAAAGTCGGAACGCATCGAGTCCTGGACAAAAGGCAGTGCCTGCCACATTGGCGCACCTCATGGTGCTTTGACCTACTCAGCTGTTTGGGCGCTGCGCTATTCATCATCCCAGGTCGAAATTTTGCCCCCGCAACAACCCGTGTATCTGGTCCATACTGCATGAACCTGGAACCGGCTGGTGCTTGGACACCTCCATTTTGCTCCTTGGGAAGTGGGTGATTGCTCCTTCTCTTCGTTTGCTCTCGGCTTCGAAGGCCACATGGTGACGCGACTTTGGACCAAACCGAGCCGCCAAACTGGCGGGCTCTTGGGATATTTTGCCCTATAGACCAACCAAAAAGGGGACAACACGCGGAGTTCCCTCAAGATTGCAGGTAAATCAGAACACATGGTCAATTAAAGAAGTACGGGCCGTTCCTTCTCTTTTAATATTACAATTTGAGAATCAATAACAAAGGCCCTAGGCGAAAGCACGCGATCGGCAGTGGTACTCACCGAGGGTCCACGCATACGGATAGTGGCTCCTTTCTCTTTGCGCCCATGCCTGCGCTGACAACGAACCAGAGCAACAACCAGAACTGACATGGACAGGAAGAGGAACAGGAGCAGGGACAGGAACCGAAGACGAACAAGAAGCAGTAACAACAACAGCAGCAACAACAACAGCAACCACAACGTGGTCAGGCATCCAGGTACGGTGTATGCGCCAATTCATGAACATGGGAAAATAAACGTACAACCAATCAAATATGTTGTAATGCAAGGCAGTGTATATGTATATTTGGCTTGCAAGCTCCACACCTCAACACATCCATCTGAACAACTCTTACATTGTGTGATACAAAGGAATAACTAGAGGCGAACGCAGCTCTGCTTGGAGCAACTTGAGGCAGTGTTCTCCTTGCCAAGACTCGCTTCAGTGGGTTGGCGTGAGGAAAACTAGTTTTTCTATGTTCCACTCTGATCTCCCCAAACTGTTTCTGGGTTCATGGCAGTGCCACTTTCAAATTGATCCGCAGGGTGACCATGGCACCCACTCCCCAAGCAAGGCAAAAAGCAGAACCCCACCCTCCAGTGTTTGAATGACCCAGGGGAATACCCACCACAAGGTTTGTAGCAAGAAAGCCCACTAGCTCTTTGCAGCCTCGTCGGCGAACTCGAACAAATCCTCCGAACCGAAGACAGAAGCGAGACTTGTCCATGTTGGGATTCAACCCACCGCATCCCTTCATAGACTTTGAGTGGATGTCCAGGAAAAACGGGCAAACATGCTTGCAACCTCCTGCAACCTCCTGCAACAAGGACCCAAAAGCACCGGGCCGCTAAAATATCGAAGACATGCGGGTGCATCTTTTCGAGGGTACTCTTCGGTTGGTATAGAGGGCAACCAAGCGGACCAGCTCGGTGTCACCTACGCATGGCAGTGGCTCAAATACATGGACCAAAGTGGCACCTTGGTAAACGGAACCAAAGACTAAAACCTGCGGTTTGCCCTGGCTCTGAATTTAATTTGAGCCACGCACATATCAAGTCCAGCAAAACAAGTTCTGGAGCTTCAGCAGGCTGCTTAAGTGGGAACAAACCTCGTGAGCTGTGCCAACTCATGGGCATCGGAACTTCCCGACCCCCCCCCCAAAAAAAAAGGGGCTGTAGTTTTCTTTGTGGTTTCCATGTCAGAGCCAGAAAACGGCGGTGTTCTCAAAAAAAAGAGGAAGGAGACTCGAATCCCAAATCTACGGCAGGAGTCCCGACACAAAGCGTTCGGTACAAATTTGAGGAGGGGTCAGGCCTTCGTTCCCCCTCGCGCAGCGAGGTTCGCCATTGGAGCTTGACATAAGAAAGCGGTGATGGCCCCCCCACGGTTGCCATGAACGAACAAAATCCTGGGGGTTGATTCAAATTCCATTCTTCTCAAGCATCGTTCTTTTCAATAATCGGCTGTTTCCCCTGGGCTTTTGATGGTTTCCTGAAAAGAAGGATCCCTGGAAAGAATGGGGAAGGTACCCCTAGAAAAATCCACTCTGCGCCGGGGTGTCCCCTACGACTGGGACAAACAACCTACCCGCACAAGGACCTTGCTAATTGAATCCTTGCTCTGAAGGGGTGCTGAAGTGCACCTAGGGCGAAACATGCGTCAGAAAATGGGTCAGCCAGGGCCCGACATAGACACATTGGGCACGTATTTATCCAACGAATCCGTACGAATCCCACGTTCCTCCGTACGGATCCGCCATAGGGAGTTTTCGGACCCCGGGTTCAGTTCCAAGCTAGTGGCTAGGAAAGTAAGTGCTTTGCATTCGCTTCGTCTCGCATCTTCCCTCAACTTAAGGCACCCCAACATCAGCCCTCAGCGCTGAAGGTCCTCCGCAGGCGCGGAGCGCGGTCGCTGCACGTCCGCGTCGAAATGCTCGGGTTCCTGGCGGGGGTGCTGTGAAGGGGCCGGAGATGACGTCAGCGCAGGTTAAGAAAGCACGCCGCCCATTTTGAGGTAGTTGACTAGGTCCTCCAGTAGAGCGGTTGGAATAAGGGTACCAACTTGTTTTTCCTGTAGTCCATTTGGGGAATCCTTCCCCAAGAAAGGGTGAAAGGGCACTACTGGGGGGACCTAGTTGATGTTCAAGGGAAATACTTCGCCCAGAAAAAACACACACACGCACAAATTGAGAAACACTGGACAAGGGTACCCCTGGGCAATGTCCTGCCAAGCAACACCGACTCCCTGCGCGCCTGTGCAGTTTCGAATAGGTCCAGCCAATGGCTTTGAACAGGCTGGGAGCAAGTGGAAAGGCCGTGGAGCATGGAAAGAACACGGCTCTCATGCACGAAAAATCCAAAGGAAGTCAAATCAAGCTTCACCTTTCGGCTGGGGGGGCATTGTTTAGTTCACCGAACCCGAGAGAAGGGACCAAGGAAGGGACGTCGGTTCATGAAAAACCAGGCCATGCTGGACCAGACAAAACGCCAAAACAGTTTAAACCTTACTCGAAAGGACACCTCCCAGATCCGTGGCTGGTACTTGCATAAGTCTTTTCGCAGTCGCAAACTCAAGGTGCACAAGCTACGCCTTGAGAGAAAATCAATCTGTACGTGCCTGGCGAGTGTTGGAAATCCAAAAGATGACAATTGAAAGTGTGTGCTCTTTCGTTCTCCCTAATCTGCTGGTGGTCACGATGGATCAAAAACCTTTGTTGGGTGAAATATCATGGGCTCTCCTTTTAAGTGCGGAATCATCAGATCTGCTTGGGCGATTCGTGCAGCACTTCTTCGTCTTTTCAGCTTGAATCCTAAGTTACGAGGGCTCGGATCGAGATCAGAGTCGGCTTTACTGTCAACGACAGGCTGGAAGCTTTCGTTTGTTGTTTTCCTTGAGAGGGGAAAGCAGCAAGTTCAGAACTGCCATGTGCTAAAGCCCCCTGGAGAACGTATTTCCAGTAGTGACAGATTCACTTTAAGACCTCCACAACACCAAAAAAAACGTAATAATCAATAAAACATACTCATTTCAGCTTAAACGGACGTCAGTGATGGGACCTGACATCACAAACGCCCCACCGGCCCCCCAAATCTCTCCAAAGCTCAGCCTCCATCAGCCGGTGAAGGCCTGCGCAAAGGAAGTGACAGGCGGTGCCTTACAAATGTGGAAGCTTGACTAACTTCAACCATTTTGAACATACTACAGTATGTTGTATTAATATCATAATGTATAGCTTATTTTGGGCCTAGGTCCTCCAGTAGAGAGGCTAGAATAAGGAAACCTAGGGGCTGCCTAGGGCCTCGTCGAGAGGGGGGAACATGGGTACTCAGGGGTAAACATTTCATCAGGTCCTCCGGTAGAGAGGTTAGAATAAGTTTATCCTTTTGTTTCTGTGGTCTATTTTAGTAGGGGAACCCTCCCCCAAAAAGGGGTAAAAGGGCACTACCCTTACTTGTGGAAGCTTGATAGCCCTTGTCTGCTGGGCGTCCATGTCTGGCCAAGTATGGCTGTGGGTCAAAAGCATGCACTAAAATGGCACCTTGGTTCATGGAACCAGAGACTAAAACCTGCGTAACCCTAGCTCTTTAATTTTGAGCCACAACCATATAGGTACACATTAGGCCTTCCAGCATATGCAAGAGTACAAAAGCCTCGGATATGTAAACGTTCGCTCGCTGTCCTGGTGTCGCCAGAAGGTATACACTTTGGGGAGAGGGGTATGAACCACAGAAAGTATTTTGGGGTATTCAATGTCTGGGGAACCTCTCTGATCACAACTTCAGGTGTGGCAGCGAGTTCGGTACATTCTTTTGTCGCTGTCAGATCATCACCTTGAACCAGTCTGCATCCCACCTTAATCTAGAATTCATGCACCTTGAGCCCTGGTGTGCAATTCAAACTACGCTCAAAGGAAAAGCAAACCCAGACAGTACAATAGCTGATAGAATGTCAATGCTCATATGTGATGGGAACTGTGGGGAGTTCATGGGAGTTCCAACGGCAAAAGCGAGATGTTCAACACTGGACACGTAGTTTGCTTGCCAGGATGCCCAAGAGGACTGCTGGTTTGCTCCAAATTGCTTAGACTGCGTCACAAAAAATGGTTCTGATTGCAGCTTCTGATCCCCGCCACATGTCTTTCAAACCAAAAAAGTCTCGATCTGCGGACACTTGCGAAGTTGCTGCGGACAATCGTGGGATTGTGGCGGACATTCGCAGAATTGCGGTCTTGTTGGCCCCATTGCGGTCAGGATTCAGAAGAAGCTGACGTGGGCTATTCCTTGGGTTCTTTCAACCCCAAGCTTTCGAGAGGTGCAGTGGATCCCAATTACCCATATAGTAGGTAACCAGCTAGTTCCCTTTATGATCCTAAAGGGTGGTTCCCTTGGTTATCTACTATAGACAGGTACATAGCTCCACTGGGCTTTGCATTCGATGTTCGATGCATCACCTGGCACTCTCGTTCAGCTCACTTCCTGAGTGGATTGCTCAGAACAAGTCCTATAACTTGTTGTTTAGCACTAAGCTCGGTTGCTTTTTGCTCCCCTGCTACAAGTGAATAACTTTTAGCGGTTTAATGGAAAACCCATTAGTTGGCAAAAACTACATCGCCCCGAGCCCCGTGCGGTTCGAACCGAGCCCCGCGCCTGCGCGGGAGTAAGGTTGATCCGGCACCAGGTTCGGCGGAGCGGAGCCGGGCCTGGCGGAGCGAACCAATCAGGTCAATCCTCCCCTCCCCCCGAAAAAAAAAAAAAAAAAAAAAAAAAAAAAAAAAAAAAAAAAAAAAAAAAAAAAAAAAAACCTGCAAATGATTGGGAAATGATAGAAACAAAAACACATAAATACCTTAGCAACATAAAAGTCATCCCTTCCACCTGGACGCTTTTTGGATTCTGGACAAGTATGCTTTCTTCGGAAAAGACTCACTAAGCAGTACTCCTCTATAAATGATCGGAAGGAACCTAAACACGGGTCCGTTTCCCAAAAGGAGCTTCGTTTACAAATTGGTCTAGCCATGCTCATAGAAGGAGAGTATGAACACACGCTATATCCTGAGGGTTATCGCTGTTTGGTAGTCCAAAGTTCTCAAATCGAAACCAACGGAGCGCTTGTGTGATACACCCTGTAAAAAAAGACATGACATGATGGTGACTTTGGCCCCCGTCTCATGTGCAGTTGGGTAAAATGTAAAAGATGGCACTCCCCGCTGGGGTTGCGGGAGGAAAGGTCCTCGGGCAAATCAAATTGGAAGGGTCCGAGTAGCAGCTGAAGCCATCCTTTGAGAACATCAAATAACCCAGAATGCGTTCAAAACTGGGAAGTATCCCAACAAAGGTTGGTTTCAACAACCCAGAAAGGGTACCATCAAGACAACCCACACACACACATGTTCCTATGTGTTGAACAAGTAGATGATTAATGTTGACACACATTCTCAAACATGGCTCGAACACCGACTGGACCACAGTCAGACAGTCAGGCAGGGTCTGCACTTGTCGGGGAACCCAGGTCCTGTAGAAGCAGCTTCCTCCGGACACCTTGGCTTCGAGATTCCACAAGGGGAAATTAATTCAACATGTTGTTGCCGACGTCCATCAAAAAACACGCAATAATTGAGATTCCTACTCCCCCTGAGGTGAGAAAGGGATCCACTGAACCAGCCTTCCCCCGGGTCCCGCCTCGGAAACTCGGTGCCAAAGTCGAAGCTGCCTGAGCTATGCATGGGGGTCGTTTCAGGAGTATCTAAAGTCAAGATAGACAAACAAAGAACAATGGTAATTGGGGTGCCCCCAGATCCCCTGCCAAAAGCTTAACTTTTAGTGGGTTGAATGGAACCCTCCACTAAACACTAAAAAAAGCTAAGGGGATGGCTGGGAGCCACCAAGGTAAGAACACCACACACGGACCTGGGTGACTCAAACCATTGACATGCCTTCAGACTTGAGACAACAATGACGCCTTATCCACTAGGCGACTGGACCTGCTGGCACACTGTGTGGTAAAACATGAGGACAAAAAAAGAGGAACCTACTATACACACCTGTTATTTGGCACAGGCAACCTCAAATACTTGGATGTACTCACTTCGGAAACAAACCGATCGAATCCAACGCTTAAGAGGGTTTCAAATGCTTCTGTTGAACCATCAGCGCCAAAAGAAAAAACAACTCTTGTTTACAATGACGTGATTTCAGACAGGGCTTCAACGTTCCTTTTCAAAGCACCTCAAGCGGGTACCAGCTCATTAAAAAAAAAAAAAAAAAAAAAAAAACATGGGACACAAACAAAAAAAAACACGGGACCGCCAAACCCTCTGAGCATCCCGGGCCGAGATTCGGGCCAAGGTCGTCCGGGCCGATGGCCTTGAGAACAGAGAACGGCCCAGCGTTCGGATTTTTGCGACATGGGCCTGGAGCTTCACAAATCCATCAGGATTCTCATCTTACCCCTTAAAACTCCAAGGATTGGGGAAGTTCACCTTTTACAGACATATAGCCCATGTTGCCCAAAAAGTTGAAAAGTTGTGTTTTTAAGAGGTAAGTCATGGGATGTCATGCCCGGGGAATGTGGGATAGAACTTCTCTGCGGACCCAACATGATTTGAAGTGGACGAAGGAAGCTGAAGGGGAGGTGAATTAATCCGAAGGGGCCTACAGTTTGGCGATTGGCAAAGGATTCAGGGACCTGGAGCGGCTTGCTGGAGTTGCCAGATCCTGCGTCTCCTTCGGCCAAACATCGCCCGACAAAACCCCGAGGGAGGCTGAATAGATTGCAGGTCCATAAAACAAGTATATAACGCGCACTATGGAATCTGAACACGAAAAACCGTGGATCTTGTGGTAAATGGCCATGGGTCAAAAGCCCGTACCCCCAGTGAACATCCCAATCCCCACTAAAATAGACTAAAATGGGTGGTGAATTCACCTACCAACCAAAATGGTACCATTGGTTTTGACCCACAGCCATATCTATGAACTAAGACCGCGCAAGAACAGGCACAACGATCCTCGCAATTCTGCTCTCGGAGCTGAGCCCTTCAAACCAAAACGGGTCCAGGACCCCACAAAAATGACAGATCCACATGCCGCCGCCCATTTCGATCTGCACGGTCATTTCTTGGAGTTTGCGCATTTGCTTGGAGGTTGCTTTAAAGGGAAACCACCGATGTCTGGTTTCCCTTGCATACATCCTTCGAAGGTATCACCAACCAAAAACCAGCGAAATCTGTTGGATCTCCCAACCGAAGGCGCCCTACGATCATGATCAGATCGGTCCCCCGCATTTGGTGATTCCTCCCCCCGTTCTGCGAGAGCCCAGGAATCGCCTCAAGCGCCCGCCAGTCATCTGGTCGAGCCATCTCACCCAGTCATGGCACGGACGGCGCGGGAGTCTTAAAAGCGGGGTTCCCTGTGGGGGGCTGGGTCTGTGAGGTTTCGCCCTCGGGCGGAACTCAATTGCTATGAACAAAAACCTAACCCAAAACATGGGAAATAGATGTTCATGCGTCTCTAGCTTGGTCTTCCCAAAGTTGAAAGTTGGTGTGTGGCCTGGCCATGAGAGGTCAGGTAGTGCACGGTTTCTGGTTTTTCTTCCTTCATGGCAAGGCGAGTGTCCAATCCAATGCGCAGATAGTTCGCAAGCATCACGCCAGGCAAGATAAATGCAGCTGCATGAGCGCCTTCCCGATGCGCCCGCTTTAGATCCCCTTGTTGTAGTCGCAAAGTGTCTGGGATGGGGTCAGCCATGTGCTTCAACCTCTTGACTCTGGTTGGCTTCTATGCTGAGCCAAATAGGCCACGGTCACAGTATCGTGTTCTTGCGATGGACACAAGGGAATGACCGAGTCACACTAGGTTTGATCTAGACGTTTCGTGAGTCCCCATGTCCCTCCCACCAAATTGCTGGGCGATACGCACCCGCCTTTGCAAAGCAAGTCAAACCAATGACAAACACCTGACAGAAGAAACGTGCATTTAGACCCTGAGAATGTACCAGTATATGAAAGCTGCGTTATATACTCTTATTCTTTTGCCCGGGCTTGGGCCCTCGGCAAGCGCCGCGACGCGGAAACCGAGCTTTCGTGCAACGTCTGTGAATTGCTCGCTTGGTTTGCGCGAGCCATTCAAGCCAAGGCATTCCAAGGGTGGATGCAGAGCCGTGAGCATCTGGGCGTGACTGATGACCGACACACCTGGAGCACTTCGATTCAAGAAGTCACGATGAAAGAACAATAAATTCAAGCTACATGACATGAAGCGAACGCGAATTTGCCAGAACTGAGCCATAACTACGGCTAAATTGAGTCAATTTTTGCGGCGTACCCAAAACGCATGGTCAAGTCAACTTGTTGCGCAACATGCACACATTAAAGCAAGAGTGACACTACATTCAAGCCAAATAAAGACAAAATTCAAAGCAGAATTAAGGCAAGACTAAAGCCAATTTTAATAGCGCCTGCCAAACCATGCTAAATTAAAAGCGCAACTACTGGCGTGCGCCAATGGATGTTATGGGATTGGGAATCAAGCCGGACTAAAGCAACAATTAAGGCCGAATTAAGGCCAAATTAAGAGCGTGTGACTATTTGATTTGGATTCAGACCAAAATACAGCAAAATTAAGGCCAAACTAAGGCAAGATAAGGCGGAAGAAAGACCAAATTAAAGAGACACTCGAGAACTTAGACGGTAGTTCTAAAGATTGAATCTGGCCAATGCACAGCTTAGGTGAGAATAATTTCAAAATTCCAATTGCTACGAGTTTTGCGGACACGAACAAGACTCACATTTCAATCATGTGTTATTCTGGGCCCAAGTTCAGCCGTGTCAAAATTCCACAGTCTTGCAAACTCTATTGATGCAGGAAGGTACCCAGGCTTCAGACTCAAGCTTTCCTGTCATGCTGCTGCATCTTTCTCAACGACCCCGCCGGTTTTCAAGAAGCCAACGACTAGTTCTGCTAAGAAACCAAGTGTTCCTGGTATTTCTACAAATCTTGCAGGAATGGCGCAGAGTTCAAACATCATTGAACAAGCTGCTTTGACCAATTCAACTGGTTTATCATTGGCAAGCAACACGCAGTGATGAATTAAAGTAAAACTGAATAGCTGGTTACTTGGTTTGTCGAATTGACGGTCAGTTGGTTAGCAGTCTGTTTATGCTCAAACACAGGGTACATGAAAGTATAGAGCCAATCTGAAAGTGCAAAAGAAACGGGGTGGCTGCACCAGAAATAGGGCGAAATTGATTGGGTCTTAATTTGGCCTTTATGTGAAAAGAAATTTTGGGGCCAGAGGCCTTACTAGGGGCTTAATACGGCCCTATGTTCATGTTCCCTCTGAATCCGGCCTTGTTTTGTAGAGGCGGGGGGGTATGCAATCTATGAGTCTAGGGACCAGACAAATTGATGGTCTCGTTTTTCGCGGAACTGGCTTTGTGACTGTTTCAACCTTTCGGGGAGCTTCCATTTTGAGGCACACCTGCAAATCATGCGATTTCGTGGGAGATACTCAGCCACAAGTGGTGAAATTCCTTTGAGGGAGCGAAAGCAAAACCCGGTGGATCCCAGGCTTGCCACTATAGGTCACCCGGGCGATCTTCCTTTTGGTTCTTATATCATGTAATGTGGTTCCCTTGGCCTACAAAACCAGGTAAATGGATCCACTGGGAAAGTGGCGCTGCACGTCTGTCGGCTTTTCCACTAATGCCGCCGAATCAAATCCTTCTCGAAGACGACTCGGCGACCTCACGACCTGCAAAGAGATCGGCTGCGGCGAGAGACTGGACTGTGTTGTTGGAATCCGAAATGGTCATCCAACTGTATAAGGTGATGTCATAGTCAACTTCATAAAAAAGAACCGTTCAACGAAAGGCCCCCTTCTCAGATACTCCCAACATATGGACATGAATCTGCATGTGATCACAAAAATATGTGTGGTCAACCACTGAGTGCGTGCATGCCCTAGAAGCTGATACTTCGGATGGGCGTGGGTGCCTGTAGGGCCCCTTCGAAAATCCAGCCGTTTGAACCAGCTAACGGGGAGGGGACATGATCTCAGGTGACTCGTTCCTAAGAGGGCAAATTGCCAGAGAACACGTCGTCTTCGTTTGGTGACGGCTTCAGTAGCTCTTCACCAAAGAGGCAACCAAACAAACAATAGCAACATACGCACAAGCAAACATAAGGACAGTGACACAACGCACACTAAACAAGCGACGCAATTCAAGTCCCACCCAAAACAATCAAACCAAGTAACACAAACAAACAGGCAAACAGACAGACATACAAGCACACAAGCAACTAGCGTACATCAACGCGAACACAACACAGCAACACCAGAGAGAAGATACTTGGACCAACACGAGAGAGAAGATACTTGGGGTCCAGTGACCAAAGACAAATAAGTGGATCTTTGGCTCTGTACAGCCAAGAATCCGGAGCAGCGCTCGTGAGGACTCTTCCCCCGCCAGGTTTTGCATGTCGCTGGCCAATTCGGAAAGGAGCTACAAGGCAACAGCTTGGAATCGTTGGTTTCGGAATATAACCGGGATGGGGTCAAAGGCGAACTGACTGCATGGCGATGGCACAACTTTAACTTGGACGATCTGAATCCAATCCTTGGCCCCCCGGGTCTTTAAATAAAACAATGCTGCCAGCATCCCACACACGCACAAACACGCGTCAAAACCACGCATCCTGAGCGCCGAGGGGACATGAGGGGTTGTCTTTGTGTTGAGGTATACCCGTGTTGAGGGTCTTCAAATTTGGAATTCACACAAGGGGGAGACTGCAAATTAACCGGACCCCTGCCGGTGCCTGCCTCGGCTTTTGCCTCCAGAAATCATATGTGAACAGCGTTTCTATGTTCTAGAAGTACCTCAGCAACAACACTTTGTACCTATTCTTTATAGCTGAGAACCTCAGATTCTGGCTCATACAACCTGATGCAAATTCACTCATCCCAAGCTGGGACTTCCTAGATCTTCCGTATCCAAAAGAAACAAACTCCCCAAATCCATGTGTGACCAAGAGGTGATGCTGTATCCGCCCTAGCGGGATGGCTAGGGGTCAAAACTGGACCAGACTGGTGGTTTCCCTTTGCACCTGAGAAAAGTACCCTTACGCACACCCATGTACGCGGCCCTCCCAATGCATTTCAATGGCAAACCAATTCGATCGATAGGCCTTCTCTCTGTTCAAGCGACCACCCGGAAAACAAGTCTGACAAAAACACAACACCATTGCACGCCACTGGTGTTGATTTCCTTGGGCTTGCGTTTTCTGGGCTAAACCCAGATGGAAACCACAAAGCGTCTAAACCCACGCCTCGAAGCAGCGATCAAAGCTTTTCCCAGGAGACCTTCACGTGGGCGAGTGAGTCCATAGGTGCGACACTTCCAGTGGTAACCATGAGAACCAGCCCTAAGAAAACAAAAGGAACATATATATCATATATAGGTAGTTACCTACTACCTGCTATAAGGGCAACTAGGTAGTCCCGTTTGAAACCGAAAGGAAAAGCTCTGAGTGGGCGTTTTTGTTTTTCTTCCCGGGGGCTTCTCACGGCTTGCTGGTGCGATAGGCAAGAAATGAGGGAATGACCTCTACAAAGCATCCAACTGGTGATTTCCTTTAAGGGGGCCCCTGGGGTTCATTCCCTCGTTCCCTACTGAGCACCAGCAAGACAAGCTCAAAGGATACTGAACCCCCTTATGTCTTTTTGCTTAATCCAAAGGAGCATGGGCAGCTTTTACAGCGGCAACTGGGATCCGTTGGAAAATACTAAACTGCGGGCTACTACCCCACAACTTTCAAAGCCAAGGGCTCCGTGTCGATGATGCCGGACCAAAAACAAAGGTTGCATAGATCCCTCAAACAAAAAGCTGCTGGTATATCTGTCACAAATCTTCCGCAACTGCCGCAGCTCGACCAAGTGGTATGGCGCGGGAAGGGCCGAGTAAGAATCCCCCGCTTTTCGACCATCATGGAGGTGCAAGCGCTATGAAAGACGGACGTCCTAAAAAGGGCCCCCTTTCCTCTCTCATGATTGTCCCAGATCCATTTACCCTGTACTATATAGTAGGTAACCAAGGGAATCGCCCTGTAACCAAAGGGCAACAGCTGGTTACCTACTGTGTGGGGAACTGGAGCCCATTTCGGCAGGCACAATGTCAGCTGATCTCTACAAGATGCAACAAGCTAAAACCGTATATTACTTCTCGCTGTTATGGGAACCTTGTGGTACAACTGTCTGGCGGCAACTGCAAGCTTTTTCTTTGCTGATCTTCCAAATAATCGATCTGTCTGCGCAATCTCTGGGTTGGTCGACCCGACCCTGGCCAAAAACTCAAGCTTTTTGCTGGTAAGTACGGGAAGCACATCACCTAGCAAACAATGACAAGGTCTGCCCTTCCCATATGCGCCAGGGATGCTTCTCTGAAGAGAACATGAGCCAAACCTTTGGGGAATGTGGGCAGAATGAATAAATAGTTCTTAGACAAGACAAGTGGGCGTGTGTCAGAATAGGAGGTGGCTTTCATTTGCTTGCCATTCTCAATTGAACCCCAACCTGGGCACCCTCAAACAACATGCACCCAAGTTGAAGCTAACATGGCTCAACAAAAGAAGAAACAAAAACAGAACCCAGAACCAAGCTTCTTGCTTTCTCCGGGCTGCCGGGCCCGCATTTTGCTCTTGCCCTCAGCGTCCACGGTGCGCGTGAAGATGATCTTCAAGCTTTGGCCGCTCGTGCCGCTCACCAGCCTCTCTCCGCCCAGCGAGTGGCGAGTCCAGGGGCGAATGAACCCCGGGTGGAGGCTGAATACCCAATGTGCTAGGGGTAACTTCCATTTCCACTCTTTCCAGGCATCCTTCTTTCTAGAAAACCACCAAAAATCCTGGGGAATGGCTGGCGTTTACAAAAAACGATGGCTGAAAAAATAGGGAATCACATGGTCGGATGACCCCCAAGAAAGTAAGACCACACCATTTTGTATGCCGAGAAAATGGTGCAACGCAAAAAGTGACGCAAGTCCGGGACTTCGGGAGGTGAGTCAAACTACCCGACGGATGGGATATTCGCCAAACAATGATGAGCAAACTCCCTTCTTTAAGAGGTAGTGTTTCAGGATCCAGGTAGGGTTAACTTTATAAACTTCCTGAATGGGGTACCATGAAAAACAATACGCAAACTGGATGCCCCCAAATCTGTGATACCAAATGGAGCTATTGTTGGACTTCCGTCAGAAAGCGCTTGTGTAGAACTACCTCTCTGGTGTAGAAGCCTGGGTTGCAATTTCAGCAACTGGACTCTGCTTCCCTTTGAGCGGGCAACCTACACGAGCAGTTCCATTCACCAGTTTGCAATCCAAAGACCAGACCCGATCGGATCTACACGATGGAAAATTGACTCCGACTATTTAGCGAGACCTCAGCAAGCCTTTCCGTTCTACCCCTCTGATCATCTTTTGGGTGTTGGGTGGTTTCTTCTCTCCCCCAACAAAAACACAAGGGGTACAGAAACCCGACCTGGAGTCCCCGTGACACTTCAAACATGGGGCTTGCCCAACAAAAAAGCGTGGCCCAGTGTTGATTCGGGTCAGAGACTCCAGGTACTAAAAAGCAGGGGGGTACCTAAAACGGGGAAAATCATTACACGCCCATACTGTGGATGGTTGCGACATCCATTTCGCACCACCTAAGAAACCCTGGTTTCCGATGATTCCTCTGCTACATACCCAACAAACCTTATGGTTTCAACCACTACTCAGACACCCTGGTTCCTGATGATTCCCCTGTACCGACGGCCCATGGTTTCATTTCGTGGTGAAGAGGATCCCGCAACCAGAGTATAAATGGCCCGGGCCCCGGACCAGTAACGGTCCCTGCGATCTGTGGGCCCCTCAATCTCCGCCTGCGATGCAGGGGACTCATGTCGAGCCCCTCAAACTGGGTGGGGGCCCCTTCAAACCGGACCGGGGGTGCTCGAGAGACATGTGCGGTCGCAGTCCGTCATGTTTGTTTCCGACATACTTTCAACACACAGGTGTCGCAAAATAGGGGACCCAGCGCCAATTGATGGTTGCCCCTTTGGCCCTGTGGTTTTCCCACGCAGCCCCGGAAAAGGACAACCTCCTCCTAACAGACAGACCCAACTGGTGGGCGTAACCAGCAATGTTCCCTTTAGGTTTCAACGGTTTATTCATTACCTACAGGGAAGTGGACGTTCACGGTATTTCCTCACGTCAAACCTGGCAGTCCGAGAGGGCCCCGAGAATCAAGGAAGCTTCGGGGTTCCATGTTGACAGGCGGCTGGCTTCTCATAATGTTGACCCCCTCCTGGTTATTGAAATATGGGGGGCTCGCTTTGAAGGGGAAAGCCAGGTGGAAGGAACTTGGATGGATAGTGAACATTGATTGAAACAACATTGGAATGACGACCTGTGCGGAACTCACTGGAACTGAACGTGGATCTTGACTATGCAGCAGGCAAAAAGGCGCCGAGCATCGGACTAACAATAAACGGATGGTGATTCTAGCTAACTGACTGCCCCTCGACAGCGACAGCATGTCAAAAGACACTACAAATCCAGGTGAAGGCACTTGGGTTGCCTTATCTTGCTCCGATACCGCGGGGATTCCTTGAGGGCCAAAAAACAACAAGGCTTGCATCACTTAGCAATGGGCACTATGCTTGGGCCATTGAGGAGCTCGCCCTTGTGTTTTCTATCGAAGGCCATCCCCCGTTTTGTCACTGGGATGCTCTTGGACACAGGCAGCCCGGCGAACTGCAGGCTTGTTTAGCCTGATCCCCGAATTACAATGCCGTTGGCTGCCCCAAATAGCGTAGGGGACTTCCAACAGTGCTTGATTTGCCTCTGGTGTCTTTCTAAGCACCATCCGCGAAAGAGCATTGTTTTTAGGACCCCCCAGTTTGAAGTGGCTAGCCATGACAGAAACCCATCCTAGAAAGTTTCGGCCTTCGAAGCCGGTTGGCTTATGTGGACAAAGCTTCTCGCACCAAGGGTTATCGCATCCAATCCAAACCTGAGACGTCCAACTGCATGCATCTCCTTCAAAACCAGCATCCTGAAAGGAATCTCCCTTCGGTGTCCCCCCGATCATATGGGTTGCTCTTGCTCTTTCCCCTTGAGCAAAGGTCTAACCTTTTATAGGCTGCTGGACAAGTTTTAAGACCCGAAAAGAGTTGCGGCAACATGCGCCCACTTGGCATCGAACATCCGGTGACACACACACACACACACACCGCCCACTGCCAAGTTAGGGCCCCCGGCGCTCGGGTCTGCGTTCGCCGTTGCCGGGAAGATCTGGGAGACGCCGTGGGCGTCATGCGATACTAGACAGTGTGGATTTGTCTTTTAATGAGGGAACTCAAAATGGTTGGCTTTCTCTGTGTGGTTGCTTTCTCCTTCGGCTTCTCCGTAACATCAACCAAAAGGGAGTTACCCAGAAAATCGATGCTCCCAAATGTCAAGAATTATGTCAAGGAGTTCTCCAACGGCTACTGGCACGCAACACAAAAAAGCATGGTGCGGCGCTGAAGCGCCACAAAGACATACGACCTCCTCTCAAAACCCAGTGGGGAGATCCATCATTACCTCAAACATCATAATTCAAGTCATGACTCGTAGTGGCTAAGCACCAGGCCTTTCTGCAATCGGCGCACCAAGTGTCAAAATGGTATGTGTCCAAACCCAAAGTCTCCCTTGGTACCCTAGGCTTGTAACTGGGGCTAAAGTAGGTACCCTTGCAGTCATCGTTTTTTCCAAGGGGTTACAACGGCTAAAGTACCATGTCCTTAGAAGTTCCCTTGACGGGGACCCTCGCGAAACGTGTCTCAGCTCGGCAAGTCTGGGGCTTCCTGCGGATTGGTGCCAGTCCCCGTTCCTCACCAGTTGGAAGCGGTTGGGGCCGCCGCTCAGGCTGACCTGCGAAAGCTTTGCCAGCTGAATGGACATTGGGCGGGTTGGGAGCCTTCGTCTCGCAGACAGCATTTGTGACAAACGCAGGAGCAAATCAGCGCGCACATCATGAAAGTGCCTTTCTGCAACTGGCGAAACGCACGTGTCCCTGCCATGGTGTCCATGTGGAAGCCGGCAAAGTGGCGAGCCAGCGCAAGTCACTCGATGCTCACTACAGCCGGGGAGGGGGCGGGATGTGGGGGGTGTGGTGAATTTAAGAATTCTCTGGGCAGATTGCTATTCCCCAATGGAAACGAGGTATCCCCCAAGTCATGGACCATAATGGAAGCCATCCTCACCATAGCAGCAATCTCCTTCCTTTCGTTGCTCTCCAAAATGGCGCCGGACACTGTTTCATGCCCCACGGCTGTGCTATGCGGCCACAGAAGCGAATGCGTTCACTGGCCTAAGCTCAGGAACCCCTGAAAAAGCGACCTTCCTGGGTTAGGTCGTTTGACCACAGGCGAGTTGAGCTCGGATCAGATACTCGCACTCCACGCCGCTTGGGAAGACCTGGAAGGATGACCTCACACTGACCAGTGGTGACATCTGCAAGCCTCGGTATCAAGGTTCATCTCCATAAAGTTCAAGGGTATCATCAGCCTTGATGTCATCTCACTGCCATACCCTGATATCCAGGTATCTCCATCAAAGTAGTGAGGTCCGGTTGCATCAACCACCCTGGAACCACGTCATGGCATCCAAGGCATCGCCGGCGCATGCTGCGTTCATCTTTGCCAGGCTGTCGAGTCTCAATCCAAAGAAACGCATCAAGCAGGAGCTTGCTTGCTTCTCGGAGATGGAAAGAACCAACCCACCCACCAACATCCCACCAACCAGCTATGCGAGTTCACTGGCTGGCACGGTATTCCTCTTAGGCAAGCCAGCGCCAGTGTGCTCGCGCTCGCCCATCTCGCGCGCTCGCTCCATCTGAAGGGCGTGCTGTGGATGCTCAAAAGAAGGACGGAGCTGCCGCCTGCCAGGGGGGATCAATGCCAAATTGGTTGAATCGTGCTCACGCACCTGTGGCGATTTAAAATGCGTAGGTTGTGACTTGTTGACTTGAATGGCCCACACAGTCTGCACCTAGCTCTTGTCCAAGTCTAAACTAGACTTGACATTGCTGCTTGTTGATATCGCGCCCGGAGATTCAGCCAGGTCTCGCAGGAACCTACCTCCCTAAGGGTGGGGCTTGGCATGAGGCTCTGGGGTTCCCGATGGTTCCCGGTACCCCCACGTTCTGTAGGAGTCTCAAAAGAAGACCTTTTGGCACCCCAAAAGTTCACGCACCACAAAGCTTGAGATCATTCCGCCTGCGCCGGGGGCTTCTCCGGGATGGGTTCTGGCTCACTCAGCGCCGGCTCAAAGGTGATGGCCTCCTCCTCGGAGGCCTGTGCCGACGGAGGGACTTTTGTTTCAGACACTTGGTTGACGTTGCAAGGGGAGCAACAATTTAGATTTTAGCAGCTATCTGGTTGGATTTCCCACCAAACCACAATAAGAAAACATGTAATATGAGTCCCAACAACAACCAACCCTTAGAGCCGGTCTGGGTCCAAATCGCTATGACACATCCTCCAACAATGCGAGACATGTGAAGATCATCTAGGTCTGACGATATCACCTGGTGCACAGGGAGCTGGTCCGCAAAAGGCCTTGCTATCATGCTGTCAGACTCAACATGACGAACATGTCACCATGAACCCACGTGGCAACGAGCAAATATGACCAATTCGTTGGGTTCCGCGTGCGGTTCGTGACACCAACTGTTCGAAGGATCGGTTTTGGTGCCGTGACGAAAAAACAGGCGCGCCAGTTCCGGTCGGACACCAGTCAATCATGGACCAAGGTCTGCTATGGAAGGGGGTCTTCCATGCCCACCAGTCAGGTTCCATAGTGGATGGGAGGGCACTTATTCAGATTCGCGATTTTGCGGAAAGGGCTCCCTTTTGGGCAAGCGATCATGTTCACCGGGAGGCCAGCAAACAAAACGGGAGGTGAATTCTGACCAACTGCCGAACACCTCGCTGGACTTCTGACCTGTGTCGGGGGAACACAACCCCAAAGCTTTGGAGACAAAACTCCGGTAAAATCAAGCCGGCCTACAAATACTTACGACGAGGTTGCGGCCTACTGCAAAAAAAAAAAAAACACGCTTTGTCATGATCGGGGGTCATCTCCTCTTCTCCCCCAGCCCCCCTTCTCCATTTCCTAACTTTCGCCCCTCTCCGACTCGAGTTTTTCTAATCCTTGAGAAAAGCAAATAGGGGCTAGAAAAACTGGAACCCCTTCACCCCAACTCGTCTCCGCGTGTCTCCGACTCGTCGCCTCCGAGTCGTCCTGAAAGCTGCGGAGCACCGCGTGGCGCTTCAGCGGCTGCAGCGGCCCCGTAAAGCCCAGCGGCAGCAGAACCTCCGAGGTCTCCTCGCCCATGGCCTCGTGGGGCATGGCGAATGCCAGCGATGGAGTGGGACACTGCAGCGTTTTTTTTTGTTTTCCTCACTTGAAGGAAATATCCCAGGTGCAGGAAACAAAAAAGGCAACCTCTATATATCTGTTACTTGTGTTACTTGTGTGGTGCAAGATCAACCGAACACTGTATGTCCATTCCCGCGACCTTTGTTGCTTCACAGAGTCGCCACCTAAAAACCGGACCTTCCACAAAACCAACGAGCGTACACCCCGCAGCCTGAGCAGGCGTAAGGAAGAGGAACCTTTACAGGGAAGGTCGGATCCTATGAAACACGCAACGGCGTCTCAAAAAGCAATCTAAGGCCGTGATATGTTAATTTTGTCTCGTTCTCTTGTGCTTTCTTTTAACTATACTGCATTGTTTGTACGGCTGTGGGTCAAAAATGGGTACCCAAAATGGAACGCTGGTAAATGGAACCAAGGACTCAAACCTGTGGTCCATATCCTGGTGCTTCAACTTTGACCCACACCCATATGGGTTATTCAAGGCACCCATCCGAGGATAAAAAAAAAAACAAAAACATCAAAACACAGAAGATGCGCCCTCCCAGTCCTCGAAAGACTCGGGCACCGGATGCACTGCCGCAGGGTAGCGCGACATCTGCTTCTGGAACTCCTCGAGGTGCCTCGAAGGCTGCAGCCGGTTTGAGGTGTTCCGGGGGTGGTTCCCCATCTGACCTCTACCTGGAGTCTCCATGACCCTTCGATAATGGGGGCATTACCTAAAAGAAAGGGGTCATGACCACATTTTTAAAGGGCGTCTAATCCCTTCTCCCTAATGCTAAACCGTTTTTTTCCCGGGGGACCCACTTAGTATTAGGGGGAGAGGGGGGGGGGCCAGTTAGCATTAGGGGAAAGGGATTACCCTCTACAGGAACCGTCTCAAAAAAAAAGAAGTGAAGGGCTGCCTAAATCCTTCAACTGCTTAAGTCTCGGCCACTGGGAAAATATCATGTCCAGCATAGAGTGATAGATTTCAAATGACGCCGACAGGGGATAACAAAGCATATGTTGAAGCATTGTGGCTCTTTCTCAAAACAGGGTTGAGTATGGTTGGTTTGCGTGCAATAGTGGTCTCAAAATGGGTGTCCCCCTTTTGGATGGAGGGCACACCGAAAGGAATCACGCACCTAAAGGGGGCCATTCTGAACTGAACGACTTGGTAACGGCAGAGTATTTCTGCTCCTTTCTTCGGGAACCCTTCCTTCAGCTTAAGAGAACATCACCCATACATACCTAGACTCTCCTTGACCTTTGAAAAACTTGGTCATGACCGATGACCCCTTTCTTTTTGGGTCATGATCCCATTATCAAAGGGTCATGGAGACTGCAAATACCCTCTTTCAATGGACGTCTTCGGTTCCGAAAAAAAGGGAACTCCTCTGTGTTCGGCTTCCTCTCAGCCTCCAAGGCCGCATCGAAGCTAGAGGGATTCCCGGCCAAAAAGGTGTGGGATGCTCAAGAGCTACCCTCCCACCAGCTAACATGGGCTGTGCCCAGACCCCGTAGAAGGACTGCAATCCTCTTGGAAAGGGCCTTTTTGCACTTCCATGTTGGTTGGCGGGAGGGTATGTTCTTCATGTCGACCTGTTTTGCTTAGTTCGGGGTTGGGCCCCAACAGTTTGTTGGCTCCCTCTCAATTTGGGAGAGGGGTTTAGGCAGAAAGGCGACCAACCTAGGGTCATTGATGTTTTTTGTTTATCCTTGCACATACAAGATGACCGAAAGGAAAATCAAAGGGTCCATTCCCGGTGAAACAGTCTTGGTGAGCTGTTGGGCTTGACTCCCGAGTTTCGGCGCTAAACGGACCCAAGCAAAAAGCAAACTTCAGGGGCTCGATCCTCAGACCTCCAGTGGCCATGACACGTGGCCACGCTTTTGGTCGATACGAGAGGCCTGCGCGAACCTGGAAACGAGCCACGCTTCCGGGAAAAAAAAACCCAAAGAACACCCTAGCGCCGCCTCTCAGCCGGAGAGAAACACAAACAGCAGGCAGCTTTCTGGAACCCTCCGAAAGCCACCCTAGCGCAAGGCCACCACATAGCCTGAAGCCGTCCCCGTGGTTTCAACCGCATCGGGGGCCCCGGCTTATGCGCAAAGCCACCCACAGCGCTGGATTTGGCCGCCTCCAGGTGCCTGAAACATCTGGAAGGCTTAGTGTGGCAATGAACAATTTCAACCTTCAAAAGGGGCACGCCCCCCCCCCCCCCCAAAAAAAAAAGGGGCTCACAGTGATGTAGTTGTACGGCTCCCAAAAAACAAAAGGGGCACCCAAAGAAAAGCAAACACACAGACCCACCAAGAGATTTCCCAAAAGGAGATTCTTCCAAAACTGATAGATTCCCTTTCAAACAAACTTAAATCTGGGTACCATTCAAGCACACACACACAACCGAGCATGATGGTTCCTGTACCCACGTTCCGGACAGGGTTCTTTTATTGGAGCCCAATCCGCATGAATTTTGCAAAGATTGCATGCTTGACATGCTTGGGAT